TATCATCGTAGTCTATTCAACTCATATTAACACCATCCTATGTTTCAGGTTTGCAGCAAACCAGTTTTATGCCAGTTTGCTCCGACATTGAAGTTTGGTGTGGATATTTTGAACATGGTATCATCTTTGTTCTGTTTTAGGATGTACTCAAAAATAAAGTGTCTGTATATAACATTTTTCCTCAAAGGTAATGCATGTGGAAGCTGATGACGGTGGTACTATAATGGAAGTAATTGAAAAAGAGGCTGTAGTTTTGCCGGCAGATCAACCATCCAAATCCCCTGAACTGCGATTCAGGTGATCGACGTTTTGCTATCAAGTGACTTTCTGTGTCAAAATTATGTTATCATCATTAGTAAACATAAATTATTGATATTAAAAAAGCTTATTAGTAAACATGCAATGAATTCGGCCTATAGGTAAAAATGTTCGACATTGTTGTGATTCAGAAAGCGAAAAAAATTCCCAAATTGTCTATATTTTTCTTTGCTAAAATATCATAAAACACCTCTGCTGAATCTAGAGCATATTGATGGCTCATTAATTTCTGTTAAACGTCTTTTTCTAAGCAAACTTCAATATTGTAGTATTTATTATGATACTTTCAAAGAAAACAGTGTTTAAAAAATTGTGACGGTAGCAGGGACTACTAAGAATCCGATTTATAGGTGAAAATGTTCGACATTGTTGTGATTCATATCCAGACGATTACCTCCATTTTCTTTCAATCTCGCAATAACGTAGAGTCGCTCTCCTCTACAATTCACCATTTATGTGGGATGTCCATAAATCTGAATGAAGAAGCGACTAGTAAGCCATCAAGAAGGAGACCGTCAGGAGACGCGTGCTGATCATCTTTAAAAAAAAAGCGTCAACAGGTATTCTGAAAAGGCGGAAGCAATTTTTTTCCCGAGGAGCAGTTATGCAGTGGTTAGGAGCACAGTGCATAAGAATTTGCTCAGATAAGCAATGCTTCAGTTTGGTCCTCTGTTCGGCACTCTCTTACAATTAATTGACTAAACACTGAGGAACTTTTTATCGGCTGTCTCCGATATTGCAAAACGAATAGTTTTTAGCAACATACTCCTTTGTTATGAAGAAGGCGAAGTCCTCAGGTAACAACCCATGAAGCGCATGTAATCTTTGAAGACCTTCGTGAAAGATCACTTCAAAAAATCATAGTATCAATAGTGCCCTTAGTTGTTGTTAGATGAAAGTACGAATGATGAAAGATTTTGGAGGTTCTGTGCGTTAACAAAATTTTACCAGCGAGACCTCCAAGACTGTGCGCGAATCTTCTCTATCTGTCAAGATGATCTTTTAGAATTGCGCAAGTGCGACTTTTGATTGCTTACTGAAACGCATTTATTATGTTTACTCTAGTCTACACCATGTAGTCCTTTGGAGGGTTTTCATAATTTCCTAACATTAGGTTTCATGTTAGTATGCTTGATTTACAAGTATACATGCTACACCTTTGTAATATTCTAGCTACCAAGTATAATGAGGGCATATGTGATTCAGTGGCATGCTCTGCATCACACTCACCCATGGTCGTTAGTTTCATCCCACAGCCTTGATACCACAATAGCTTCATCCTTGCTAAGTATGATGATTGACATCTTCTTCGACTTCAAGATGTTTTTTCAATGGTTCCTTTCTAAAGGTTTGAAAAAGTTTCTATCTGCAATACTTTCAGTTCACTATCAAAGTCATGCAACTTCGTTGTTAAAATCATATTAAAAAGCCAAAACGGCATCAAATTTTCACACCGCCTATTAATTTACATCGTTTTGTTTTCTCAGCAGCATGTCTAATCATTTATTTTTCTATGTCATTTCAAAAGTAATAGAGATTTTAGTAGTGTATAATTTGCTGTTCCTTTCTTCTTGTGAGCATCTTGTCTAGGTACGTGGAAGACGAGAATACCGTAGATTTCTTCGTTCCATATGTTTGGAGATTGACAATGCAGCATTCGACAATAATATTTGCAAGCGCAGGAGTGAAGCTATTCAACGCTCAAATGTTAAGCACCAGTAGTTAAATATCACCAGTTTTCCGTTGGAAATTTTTTGCTATTGTGATTTCACTGATGCATCTGTGTTGACTCCGTGTGTTAGATCTAGATATTCATGCATATTATCTATGCAATAATCATCTTCGCATACTCTTTTGAGCACTTAGGGCTCTCCTTTGATTGTTCCTTATTATGGGCATCTCTTCTTTGTGTGGATTTTATTTTTGGTAATTAGCTCGTCAAGATAAATTGCCTTCAGACAATGAACATATTCATTATTTCAAATAAATTCTTGCGAATATGATGAGATTTCTGTTTGAATGGGGATTCGTTTGACGTTATTCAATGTGCTTCATTTATGGATTTCCAATGTAAAAGTTAGCGTTACTTGTTGCAAAAACGTTCATTCAATCTTAGTGACTCAATAACAATTGTGGATTTTGAACAGCAATAAATCATGTAGGCTAGTTCACAGCCAAATTTATTAACCGAATTAGAGACCACTGTGGGTAAATGTGTGCGTTAAGTAAATGAGCATTTTAGTTTCGTGAGATAAGGTTTTGACACTTCCACTTTTTCGAAAGCATATCCGGTGATGGCATAGCTTCTGAATGTTTTTCTACTAACTAACAGCTTGATGAGTTTGACCTTTCGGCAGTACTTGCCTTATGTATATGAAGTATTGTCACAAAAAAGACTGGACATTCTGTGTTGACCAGTCTCAGCTTCAAGCACTGCAGTTTTCGAGTAATTGACTGGTGAGGATTCGAAACGGTGGAGTAATCCTATTGCTGGCCAATAATCGGCCATTGTTGTTGTTATGAAGTCTATGGACATCTGACCATATTATAGTTAATTAGTTTTTACCTTAACTACTGAGTTAAAATGGCATTAGTGACAAATTTCATTCGAGCAACGTTTCGATGTGATCGTCTTCTTCAAGGACTGAATCGAACCGATTTTCCACAGCTGTGCGTCATATCGGTGTGGAATCGTTGTTGCATGAATTATTGAGAACACGAGCCAATAGTGCTACTCTTTTTTGATAAGTAAACCGTAGGTTGTAAACTCAAGGTGAAATCTAAAACAACGAACTCATTTTTAGAGAAGAATTCAAGATAAAAGTCAGTGTGCTCACACAGAAGCAATGGGGAGTGCAAAGCTATCGAGAAAAAACAGACTCAAGAAGAAGCTCCCAAACTATCCTGAGGCATCTTGAAAGTATATCAACATAGGAAGATCTTGTTTGATAGATTATCTGAAAGCGGTGATGGTTTTCTGATAACTATGGTATATGGGGGATCAAAACTCACGATTTTATGAAAAACAAAGATTTTTACTCTGAAGACAATACAATTTTTTAGAATCTGGTTGTATTGATCACTAGGATTACGGTTTAGTAAGACGAGGCGAGGTTGTTAGCATTATATCTGTTTCACTGAGACTAATCTTTTTTGTAGCGTAAAAAGAGTGATGGCAAAAGCGGGCATCAGTAGTGCAACGGGATAGAGCACGTGCTCCCGGATATAGTGAGATGCTGGTTCAAGTCACGCCTAACGCAGAAAGTTTCACACGTCACTCTACAACACTGGGTATATCTGTTGAATAACTGGTGGAAATGCGTTTGTTTTTGGAAAGATATGGCTTTTCTTGTTGAAAAATGGTTCATTTCTTGACACATGGGGCGTTCTTTCAATTAAAGAAAAAGGATAAAGACCTTCACAGAAATAAAGACCTCTTTAGTGATATTTCATAATTGGATAGTGATAAAGTTTCCTTAGAACCCAAATTTACCAAGCAATCTCCTCTTACTTTCAAGCGCCGTAGAAAATTCTGGCGCGCGAAATGCCTATGGGCCTTTATGAACCAAATGGTTGCCAAGCTTCTAAACTGCTAAATCTTCAGATGGTAAGGGATTTATTTTGCACAAATGGAAGTGTAGGCAATGGAATAACAAGTAGTCCCGAGCGTTGCTGTAGCCTATTTTCTAGAGTAGAAAGTGCGATAATCGATTTGCACACATTACTCTATTGTAGATACGTAGATAGATAATTGTTTCGTAATATACGTTACACAAACATGGACAAATATTCCAAGTTGCTCATTAAACAGCAGAGTACATAAATCTGAATCTATCCGAGCGCAGTCGAAGGTAGATTGGCTTCCACTTTCGAGCGTTCAACCCAATCTAACCGAAAGCGCCTACAACACAGAGTGGTACCGAAAGCCAAGTGATGAGAATGTTTTGGTTTATTACTTTTCCTCTCAACGATCACAAGAAATGCCCACTTGTGAAAAACTTGTTTAACGGCTACCAATTGTGCACAGCAAAAGACGTTAGGTATAATCCCCAAGCTTGCGCGAAAAATGTTCATTTCTGATGCCCACATCATCCTGCTCTTAATTTCCACCTAAGCAAGCACATTTGTCAAACACAACTTAAGGAGGACACGTTAGGGCAGTACTGTAGCCCTACCTGATTTGCCCTCAAACATCAAGACGCCACTTACGCTATACGCAGCGATTGTATCATCATATGGACGAAACAAAAAAGTGCATATTCTGCCCTAACGAGAGATGGTAATTGATTGAAATCTGGTACGTATGTCTAATTTCTTGTGAAGCATGGGAGGACGATTGTACTGACAAGGCGTGTGGGCCGCTCAACATCCGTGTCAAAAGCACCCAGCTAGAAAACTCAAACAAACAATATATTCTAGTGCAAAAACCCCTATCGTGGCACGGGAATTCAAAACAACTGTGCGGAAAGCTTACGAAGCTTTCTGAATAATCAATCGGAAATCATTTTATTTGGCCGCTTATTGCGGTGTTATGATGTTTGAATGAACCCATGGGTTTTATTTAAACCCAAAATCTGCCAACAGTGGGTTCAATGTCGATAATGACTGCACCGCCACACCTTAGACGGTTGGCTGTTGGCAGATAACGCGTTGTAGCGTAGAAAGAGAGGAGTGCAAAACGAGCGTCGGTGGTGCAACGGTCTAGCACATGCTCCCGGAAAGAGTAAGATCTGATTTCGAATCCCGGCTGAGGCAACTGTTTTTGCACTCCACTCTACATCATTGGGCTTTTTGAAGAGATACCAAAAATCGTACAATTAACCACAAGGAGGAATGCCTCGCGTTTACATATGATCTTACACCATGCTTCAGCAGCTTGTCTGCAATGATTTTTGGAAGAATGAGTTTTATAAAAAAGCTTTTTACTGAGTAGCAGAGTTTTATTAAGTACCTCTTCTGCAGGGGTGCGAAATCATTTGACTTAGTATGATGCGAATCAGTTTGAGTTTTCTAGGCTTCAAGGATGGCGAAAACACACCAAAATGGAAGCGTTTGTATTATTACTGTACTGTATCATAAATACAATTTTTACCAACCTCGCACCTGCTTATCACAAAAATACTAAGGTAGTCAATTTAAGTCAAGATTAATCTATAGTTCGCTGGGAACTAAAACATTTCTGTTTACAAGATTTTTGAGAAAACAGTTCTCAAAGGCAATAGTTGAGATTTGTTGACTTGATGTAGTACCGTATTCAGAGTGCAAGTAGAATGCTGTTGCGAAACTGTTTTTCAAGCAGCAAGTCGGGAATGGCACAAAGCTGCGACAACACGGAAGTGCCGTTACAGGGAACTCTTATAACGCGGAAGTGCTACAACACCAAATTGCTTATCCAGCCCCATTTTATTTTCATGAAAAACTCATAGCAGGGACGATAATTCCATTACGCTGACGGTGCTTTCAATTTGTAATTTGCGAAACAGGCAAAACAGAATTATTACGCTCCGAGTCAAATGATTCTTACTAATATACTAAACTCTGGATAATATTTTCTTTATTTCGGAGGGCTAGTTCAATGTCATTCACACAGGGATATGAAGCTTTCTATCAAAACTTTTTACCCGCAGAGCCCTGAGTGAATGGTTTTATAGGGTAATACGCTCATATCGTCGTTCCCCAAATAGTGATTATGCGAACTAACGGATGTGCTCCTCAGTTGTCAAATCGCTAAATTGTTGGTGAACAAGATGGAACACCTGTATTATTGAGAACCATCTCGACCGTCTAAGCAGCTGGAACCACAAAATGACGACAGCTGATGTTCTGTGCTGTAGTGTTTTTATATAACAAACAACAATACCTGCCTGAAACAGTTGTGTCAAAGGATTTTCAGACGCATGATTTCCTTGTTCAGCTGTAACTACTAAACAGGACATCTTGTTCCGACAGATAAAGTGGCTAAAATGATACGACCACAGTGGCCTACCCTTGTAATCGCAGTGACACTTACGTATATTACGAACAATAGGTTGTTGAATGCCTACTTCTCGATTGACTTTTCGATTACTCATAAGCCAAGGGACGAAATGAGCTGCATTGATCGTTCATTTAAGAAAGCGACATTACATCAAAACGTTTTTTTCATAAACCTTCTCAAAACATCTAAAAAAGCGAAGTGAATATTTTAACACTGAGAATAATCGAGCGTCACAGGCTTAGGTTAAAACTTTATTATACGAAATGTGCATAAAGAATTTTGCTCTGTTTACTCATATCCGAGTGAGTGCAAGAGATCGACGGCGCTTAATAGGCGTCTATCCTTATTACTTTGGAAGTTCAGAAAGTTAAATTACTAAAGCTCAGTGTCTCATCAGTCGCGCTTTTGAGAACGTTCACATTATTTTCTCATCTTGATACACTGCCAATCATGTGAAGTGTGGGATTGGCGTGCCTCACGACAAACTTTTGCATCAATACAGTTGCTTCTCCTGCCACTAATCTGATACGGGTTCCCCTTATTCATCATGTTGGTGGATTCTCGAGTGTCATCTCATTCCTCGCCCGATTTGTCAATCTATCAGTGAAATTCCGTAGGAAATCTTGTTTATACTATCAAGCGGTCAGCGTCAGAAAATGAGGTTCCATAGTTTTGTTAGATAGAGAAGGTTACTCCGAACATCACAGCTTAAGGAAAGCAATTTCTGCTTCTTGAAAATTTGTCACAAAAAACGGTTTGCATCGGAAGTTGTGCCTTATTTATGTCATTTTATACCTATTTTTACAGATTTCCTCCTGAAATACACTTGTAATTCCAATTTTTTGTCGATTCGAAGAAATTTCTTCCTGGGACAAGTGGAATCTTACGTAGTAGCGCTGGTAATTAGAAGGCGGGAACCGAAGACATGTCGTGGCATTTGAATAAATGGCGTTTTCATCAAAATTTCCATCAAGTCGTCAATTTCACTTCCATCGTTTTATTACAAATCTTAGTGCATTCAATAGAGCGCATGTGACGCAGTGGTTAGAGGTGTTCTGTGTCACACACGAGGTCAAAGGTGCGATCTCGCGCTCTGGCCCACCAAGCCATCTATCCCCGGCTCGCTGAATTGGTACCAGACAGGTCTCATACTCGTCTGGGAAGATAAGCAGCACCGACTCGGTTCAGCGGAAGGCCACCGCGAGTCATTGTAAAGGCCAGTTATGTATTCAATCACCTCAAACGAAGTTAAAAATTGAAGTCGAATGCATGGCGCTTCCCTCAGAGATTGATCAACGCCGAGAGCTTTATCCTATTATCCTTTAATGCATTCAAACTCATAAATCGTTCCGTGTGATATGAGGTAACAGAATCTGCCACAAAATGTGCTTCGACACTTATTATCTAAACAAAATTGTGAGCCACCAAAGCTATTCGCGAAGTGAACGACCTGTCAAGCCAACTTGACATAGAAATTCTCAGTGCCAAATCCGTCGTCGTCTCGTGAGACCTGAGTAACAAGTGAAAAAAATTTCAGTAGAGTCTTCAATACTTAGATATTTTAGATATATTTAGGAAATAAAGATAAAGATTCGTACAATCATGGAGAGACTCGTGACAGACTCCTTCATGATTGTAGTAAATCCCAAGACCGACTATCTTTAACCTCGGCATAGTTTGAATAAATGATTAGTTTCTTCCGTTTAGTCGTTCCGAGGTGTTATTGATATTATTTATTGAATATTATCGAAGCTTACAATAATACAGGCAGTAATGCAGCTTGAATATACAATATTCGAGGTGGCTAACGTTTCGGCGGGTCGCCTTCGTCAGAGCCTGGAAAAATCACATTGATCCACAATAAACTAAGCCAAAAACCTCCATAACCCTAGCAGAAAACGTTAGAAATGTGTTTTGGATCGCATAGTAAAAGCTTTATTTCAAAACGCTCACCGTTTTGATGTTTGGGCCTATCAATTATTATTTGAAGACCAGCCGCTTAAGGTCAGTGCATCACTAGACTGTGCCTAACTCGGGCCGGAAAAATCAACGTGAGGCATGGCTCGAGGTCACGAGTGATTGCGAGGCACTCCTCTTTTCGGTTCATTTTCGGGCCTTTGTTATGTATCCAAAAGGCTTCTAGTGTTTTAGGCGCAGATGTTCTTGATTCCTGTGTGAGGATCGTGAATTTGACGCCGAACATTACTCCTGCATGTTTTTGGCCCCTATGCGTGCCTAGTGGAGTTTTTGCTCATAGTAACGTAACCCAGCTAGGTGCTCTTTTATACGGAAGAACAGTGGTCTACCCGTTTCGCCAATGTACTCATCGCCGCATGCTTCGCAAGAGATTAGGTAAATTATACCCGATCTCATACAGTCGCCGTCTCTGCCGTTCCCACAAACTTTGCAGTCATTGGTTTCGCAGAGGCAGTCAACAATCGGTTGCGGACTAATTGACGCTTTAGTGCTTTCGGGGGTATTTCAACTACTGCTACCAAATCATCCAAACCTGCTCTTTTTAGGCAGCGTTTAATAGCTGTACTTATTTCGTTAGAGATAAAAGGAAGGAGGAATGAACCTTATTTTCGCCAGACTTTTCGTTTAGGAGCATAGAATTTCCTCTAAATTCAACTTGAGAAGCTCCTACCGCATCGTAGCCATTAGAGATGGCTATTTTTCGCGCCAAGCTCAAAGAATTTACCTTGCATTCTTTTCCTGTGGCACATATTTAACGCTGTTCGGAACACATATTCAAGAAGTGCGCGTTTTATGTATGAAGGATAGGCTGATAAGTAATGAACCAAGATGATTTTGTTCCTTGGTTTACAGTACCATTTTTTATAGTAGGAGTTTTTGGACAGGTTGACCTGAACGTTCAAAAAAGGGAGCCAATTTGCTTTCGGTTTCTCACTGGTAAACTTCATGTACTTTGACTGACTGTTCAGCAACTCAAAGCATTTGTCCATCTCCTCTTGGGTTGAGCAGAAGGCAAAGCAGTCATCTATGTATCTACAGTAAAGTAACGGCCGGAGATCGATTATTGGGCTCTCAACTTTAGACATAAAGGCTATAGCAAGTGTTGGCGCTAGTCGTTGTCCCATTGCCAGCCCTTTGATTAGAGCAAAATAGTTTCCGGACCATCTAAAGATTGAACAGTTTAGGCATTCTTTTAAGAGAGTCATAACGTGCTCACTAGAAAAGCCATACATGTTTGTGGTCCTTTCGTGCTCTGTTAAAAGCTCGTATATGGCTTGCATTGCGGAATCATTCGACACGTTTGTATAAAGGGCGGTTACGTCGAAAGATTCCATCACGTACGCGTTGTTGGGGGACGCGTTAAGTAAATGGTTTAGGAACATTTGGGTGTTCGTGAGATGGGCTGGAATGTGCTCTAGTAATTGGACTAGTATTAGGTTTGAAAACCACATTAACCTGCCCGATGGTCCGCCTACGCAGCTGATGATGGGCCTAACTTTGAAATTTGATGGATTAGTAGACAAAAGATCATCAGTACATACCGACTTATGGGTTTTATTGAGCAAGTATAAGACGGGACATGATGGGGGACTAAGTTTTAGTTGAGAGATAACGGAAGGCTTCAAACCAGCCGTGCTCGCTATTTTTATACATTGTTGGTTCAATTTTCGATACTATTTTTGGAATTCCTTTCCAGATGATGGGCGATAAAGTGTGGTGTCTTCAAGGTAGTTTTTTGTTATCGCAATATCTAACTGATTGGGAATTACTGCAAACTCTCCTCCCTTGTCATTAACTGATA